ATACAAAAATCAATTCCCCCTTTTTAAAATAAACACAGACTGACAGAGAGGTGAGGAGGATTCTGGGAGGTCACATGACATCACTCTATCTCTATTAATAAACACAGACCTGACCGGAGAGGTGAGGAGGCACATGACATCACTCTCGTCTCTATTAATAACACACAGACCTGACCAGAGAGGTGAGGAGGATTCTGGGAGGTCACATGACATCACTCTCGTCTCTATTAATAAAACACAGACCTGACCGGAGAGGTGAGGAGGATTCTGGGAGGTCACATGACATCACTCTCGTCTCTATTAATAACACACAGACCTGACCAGAGAGGTGAGGAGGATTCTGGGAGGTCACATGATATCACTGATCTCTATTAATAAAACACAGACCTGACGGGAGAGGTGAGGAGGATTCTGGGAGTCTAACATGATATTCCTATTGGTTCCTCAATACAGAGATTTCCACTTCTGAAGTCAGGTGATCATATGACCATCACAGTGCCTCCATGTGACTCCCTAAACCCTGAGAGACACAACATGCAGAAGATTCTAGAAAGTCACCAAGAAGATGATGGAGCTGCTGACAGGAGAGGTGAGCGGTGCCGGGAATTCTGGGACATTCTCCAGTAACAGACAAGGGATGTGTCTGGATGGTGACTGTATCATTGTGTGTGTCAGGTTCCTATAAGGTGTCAGGGTGTCACTGTCTATTTCTCCATGGAGGAAGTGGGAGTATTTAGAAGGACACAAGGATCTCTACAAGGACGTCATGATGGACAATCAGCCGCCCCTCACATCACCGATACGAAGACACTTTTGTGGGATGGAGCATCTAGAACATGAACTTGTGGACCCAATGTGTGGATTTTGTATGTGATGTCACAGTAATGAATCTCATATTTTACAGATGACCTCTTCTATCATTCTCTTGGTTTAGGGTGAAGATCTGGATAGATATAAAAGTTGAGGTGAAAGCAGAAGAAGAAGAGGCGTATGTGAGGGATGATCAGCAGTCTATGGAGGAGGATGGAATAACGGGGACATTTATAGAGGAGGGACACTCCTACAGAGATCAGCACAGGTGGGTCATGAACACTAAATCCATTCCTCCACCCATACTGCTCACTGATTGGTCCAGAGTAGGGCGGGGACTGGGTGATATCAGCCTGTAATCCCCTGGTCACTTTCCTGAGCTGTGTTCCCCGTCCTGTATTCCTGGATTTCTCTCGGATAATCTTCCTTCTCTGTGCTGCAGACACAATTTATGTCTCTAGACTGGATTTATGGAGGTTCTGGAGTTCAGCTGGCAGCAAAATGTTCATTTTCACCATAGACGTTACTAGACCTAGGCACCTGGGATGTGTGCTTTTGATCTTCTCCCCCATATCCGGGTCTAGTAAGATCTCTGACAGAACATTTCTCCCAGGGTTCCTTGCTCTGTTATCTGCTGGCTGTGCCGGGTGGAGGGATATGTCTGTAGTGTCTCAGACCCAAGTCACTGGAGTGCAGTCTCAGGAGATGGGAGGGAGGCAGCGGTGTGGGATCTCTGCAGCTTGTGTCGTGTAGACATTTAAAGTGGTTGTAAACCCTCCATATACCCAGAGAAGTGACTGGTCTCAGGTGTGATACACAGAGATTAAACAAATCCTACATATGTTGTACATTTTTATTTCGGACCTCTCTTCATCTGTTCAAAGTCCAGAATTTTATACAGCTTGTCTGAGAAGTCAGAAAAAAAGGGGAAGGAGAGCTGGTCACATTCTGCAGAGCTCAATAAAGTGAGCTCTGAGAGAGGATTGGAGGGAAGGGACACACTCCTTTCACACAGGAACACAGCTGAGGCTTTTCAATCACAGGCTGTGAGCTGGAGCTCCTCCCCTGTCAGCTTTCTTCTCTTGGTGTCAGGAACATTTGTCAGAAGTGACTCATGCTGATCGTATAGGAAGGAGACAGCAGACAGAAATGACACTTCGTGCTCCATAGTGAGACAAGTACACACTGTAGAGGGATATTCTTTGTTCATATTCCATGTCTGAGGGTTACAACCCCTGTAAGTGATCTCTGATTACTAAACACCAATTTGATGTGATCCTTACACTATTTATTAGTGTGGCCCCCCTTGTCCTGAATAGAAGGTACTATGTGGGTTTAGTTTGTGGATGGGCTGTACTTGGATCAGGCTGATTGTATAGTTCTTCACTTGGTTTTCTCCCTAAGTTTAGGTTGTCTTGTGATGTCTCACTGTGGCCAGTAGATGTCACTGCTATATCACTGGACATAGGAGGAGATTTCACCAACCAAACACTAAAGGGATTTTATAAACTACTTGCCAACCACAGGTAGCTGAATGATGGCTACACTTTGGCTGGCCAGTTTCTGGGAGGGTGTCATATGATGTCCTCCCAGATTGCACTCTCCTGCTCGCCCCCGAGGGCGCGCACCCGGCAATCTCTGTGATCGCTGTGTCCTATGGACACAGCTGATCACGTGATGTGGTAAAAGGCCAATCACAGCGGCCTTTTGCCACACGTGATCAGCCATGTCCAATGGCAGAGCAGATCACAGGGAGAAATGCAGTTGCCGGTTATCAGCTGCACTTTTCCTCACACTTTCAGGTCGTGAGGAAACTACTGCCGGGAACCGGCAGTTGTTAGAGCAGGGATCGGCACTGATCATCAGGGCACTGATGATCAGTGCCCTGATGATTGGTGCCTAGCAGTGCCACCCACCAATTCTGCCCACCTGTGCCCAGCAGTGCCACCCACCAGTGCCAATCAGTGCAGCCCAGCAGTGCTGCCAGTCAGTGCCACCAGTCAATGCCTAGCAGTGCCGCCAGTCAGTGCCCAGCAGTGATGCCAGTCAGTGCTCCCTATTCGTGCCACCTCATTAGTTTCGCCTATCAGTGCCCATCATTCTGTGCCGCCTCATCAACGCACATCAGTGAAGGAGAAAAATTACCTGTTTAAAAATTTTTATAATAGAAACAAAGAAAACTTTTTTTTTTTAAATTTTTGTCATTTTTTTGTTTATAGCACAAAAAGTAAAGCGCCCAGCAGAGATTAAAATACCACCAAAAGAAAGCTCTATTTGTGAGAAAAAAATTATACAAATTTCATATGGGTACAATCTTGCATGACCGCGCAATTGTCAATCAAAGTGCGACAGCGCTGAAAGCTGAAAATTGGCCTGGTAAGGAAGAGGGTAGAAGTGCCCTGTAGGCAGGAAGGGGGTAGAAGTGCCCTGTAGGCAGGAAGGGGGTAGAAGTGCCCGGTAGGCAGGAAGGGGGTAGAAGTGCCCTGTAGGCAGGAAGGGGGTAGAAGTGTCCTGTAGGCAGGAAGGGGGTAGAAGTGTCCCTGTAGGCAGGAAGGGGGTAGAAGTGTCCTGTAGGCAGGAAGGGGGTAGAAGTGTCCGGTAGGCAGGAAGGGGGTAGAAGTGTCCTGTAGGCAGGAAGGGGGTAGAAGTGTCCTGTAGGCAGGAAGGGGGTAGAAAGGTAGAAGTGCCGGTAGGCAGGAAGGGGGTAGAAGTGCCCTGTAGGCAGGAAGGGGGTAGTAGAAGTACCCGGTGGGCAGGAAAGGGGGTAGAAGTGTCCGGTAGGCAGGAAGAGGGTAGAAGTGTCCGGTAGGCAGGAAGGGGGTAGAAGTGTCCAGTAGGCAGGAAGGGGGTAGAAGAAGTGTCCCTGTAGGCAGGAAGGGGGTAGAAGTGTCCCGGTAGGCAGAAGGGGGTAGAAGTGTCCGGTAGGCAGGAAGGGGGTAGAAGTGTCCTGTAGGCAGGAAGGGGGTTAGTAGAAGTGCCCTGTAGGCAGGAAGGGGGTAGAAGTGTCCGGTAGGCAGGAAGGGGGTAGAAGTGTCCTGTGGGCAGGAAGGGGGTAGAAGTGTCCTGTGGGCAGGAAGGGGGTAGAAGTGTCCGGTAGGCAGGAAGGAAAGGGGGTAGAAGTGTGTCCTGTAGGCAGGAAGGGGGTAGAAGTGCCCGGTAGGCAGGGAGGGGGTAGAAGTGTCCTGTAGGCAGGAAGGGGGGGGTAGAAGTGTCCTGTATATAATTGGCCTGGTAAGGGAAGGGGGTAGAAGTGCCCTGTAGGCAGGAAGGGGGTAGAAGTACCGGTGGGCAGGAAGAAGGGGGTGTAGAAGTGTCCTGGTAGGCAGGAAGAGGGTAGAAGTGTCCGGTAGGCAGGAAGGGGGTAGAAGTGTCCAGTAGGCAGGAAGGGGTAGAAGTGTCCTGTAGGCAGGAAGGGGGTAGAAGTGTCCTGTAGGCAGGGAAGGGGGTAGAAGTGTCCCTGTAGGCAGGAAGGTGGTAGAAGTGTCCGGTAGGCAGGAAGGGGGTAGAAGTGTCCGGTAGGCAGGAAGGGGGTAGAAGTGTCCTGTGGGCAGGAAGGGGTAGAAGTGTCCTGTGGGCAGGAAGGGGGTAGAAGTGTCCGGTAGGCAGGAAGGGGGTAGAAGTGTCCTGTAGGCAGGAAGGGGGTAGAAGTGCCCGGTAGGCAGGGAGGGGGTAGAAGTGTCCTGTAGGCAGGAAGGGGGTAGAAGTGTCACTGTAGGCAGGAAGGGGGTTAGAAGTGCCCGGTAGGCAGGAAGGGGGTAGAAGTGCCCGGTGGGCAGCAAGAGGGTAGAAGTGTCCGGTAGGCAGGAAGGGGGTAGAAGTGCCGCGGTGGGCAGGAAGGGGTAGAAGTGTCCGGTAGGCAGGAAGAGGGTAGAAGTGTCCGGTAGGCAGGAAGGGGGGTAGAAGTGCCCAGTGGGCAGGAAGGGGTAGAAGTGCCCGGTAGGCAGGAAGGGGGTAGAAGTGTCCTGTAGGCAGGAAGGGGGTAGAAGTGTCCTGTAGGCAGGAAGGGGGTAGAAGTGCCCGGTGGGCAGGAAGGGGGTAGAAGTGCCCTGTAGGCAGGAAGGGGGGTAGAAGTGCCCGGTAGGCAGGAAGAAGGGGGTAGAAGTGCCCTGTAGGCAGGAAGAGGGTAGAAGTGCCCGGTAGGCAGGAAGGAAGGGGGTAGAAGTGCCCTGTAGGCAGGAAAGGGGTAGAAGAAGTGCCCGGTAGGCAGGCAGGAAGGGGGTAGAAGTGTCCTGTAGGCAGGGCGCGGAGAGGGTAGAAGTGCCCGGTTAGGCAGGAAGGGGGTAGAAGTGCCCTGTAGGCAGGAAGGGGGTAGAAGTGCCCGGTAGGCAGGAAGGGGGTAGAAGTGTCCGGTAGGCAGGAAGGGGGTAGAAGTGCTCTGTAGGCAGGAAGGGGGTAGAAGTGTCCGGTAGGCAGGAAGGGGGTAGAAGTGTCTGGTAGGCAGGAAGGGGGTAGAAGTGCCCTGTAGGCAGGAAGGGGGTAGAAGTGTCCGGTAGGCAGGAAGGGGGTAGAAGTGCCCTGTAGTAGGCAGGAAGAGGGTTAGAAGTGTCGGTAGGCAGGAAGGGGGTAAGAAGTGCCCTGTAGGCAGGAAGGGGGTAGAAGTGTCCGGTAGGCAGGAAGGGGGTAGAAGTGCCCTGTAGGCAGGGAGGGGGTAGAAGTGTCCGGTGGGCAGGAAGGGGGTAGAAGTGTCTGTAGGCAGGAAGGGGTAGAAGTGTCCGGTGGGCAGGAAGGGGGTAGAAGTGTCCTGTAGGCAGGAAGGGGGTAGAAGTGCCCGGTGGGCAGGAAGGGGGTAGAAGTGTCCTGTAGGCAGGAAGGGGGTAGAAGTGTCCGGTAGGCAGGAAGGGGGTAGAAGTGCCTTGTAGGCAGGAAGGGGGTAGAAGTGTCCTGTAGGCAGGAAGGGGGTAGAAGTGCCCTGTAGGCAGGAAGGGGGTAGAAGTGTCCTGTAGGCAGGAAGGGGGTAGAAGTGTCCTGTAGGCAGGAAGGAGGTAGAAG